AGCATCTTGCAAGTTCAAAGTGTAAAATGTTGCTACAAGATTGGGTTGATCCAGTCCCCAAACAAACTCTAACTAGGGATGTAGTAAAGGAAGTAGACAAATTTAACTACTTGGGCAGCTATATCTCACCTGGCGGGCGCATCACGGATGAAGCGTCGGCACGCACACANGATGATGTGTCAGCCCGCATACAAAAGGCTCGGTTGGCATTCACCAACAGGAGACATCTGTGGCACCGTCGCGCCATCCGGCTGTCTGTGAAGTGTCGAGTATATGCTGCAGCAGTTCGGCCAGTGCTGCTTTACGGTGCAGAGACTCGGTTCATTAAGGGAACAGGATAAAAATAGATTGTCAGTATTCGAACACCGCTGTGAATACAACACACTGCACGAATCTGGTGGGATAACCGGACGAACAATACTGAGGTTAGGCGTAAGGTTTTTGGGTAATCGTGATGGTCCACTTGAGCAAGTAGTCGACCTTCATAGATTACGGTGGTTGGGATAGGCATTGCGCATTTCACCAGATGGGTTGTCACTTTGAGCGATGTTTGCCGAGGCAAGGAGTGTTTGGAAAGAGGGGTCAAGGGTGGTGAAACGAAGACCTGGCAAGATGGTATGATAACTCTAACCAGGAGCCTAGGTCACCTAGGTACCGTTTCGCTTCCCGAATGGGAACCCCAAGATCATAGTAATCGGTGATTGGAGACATTGAGCGATATGCCTGGGTGTCGGAAACAGTGGCGCTGGTGCATCAACTCCTTATTCTTGCTATCCCACTATGAATTCTCTATTCTCTTTTAGGCTCTGCTCGCAACATTCCAATCTTCATTCTACTCTTTTATCCAATTGGGCGACCAAAAGGCATCAACCAAAACCGGCGCATCAGAATGCGTGGTCAGTGATCGGGAAAACTGAAAAAATCGACATGCTAACACTATACCTTTTTCAATTCAAGATGTCCGAGTATCAATTTAATATGTATTGTTGCTAATTGGATAGTACGATAGTGCAATTGCCCCATCTTTTCACACATTCTCTTGTACTTTTTTGGTGCTCTTATTATCATGTCCAGTCCATCCGTTTAGTGATGGCATGCCTGCTGTACAGTCGAAGTTCACTGGACCTGCCTAGGACTCACGGCCGTCAACAAGGTGTGGTTTCTCGCTCGGGTTAGCTGGGCAAGTACCAGGTCCCTTTTGCGGCTGACCTATCCGATCGATCGATAAGTGAACCCGATCGGTCGTGTGATTTCCGGCACGGCTTAGGGAGAGGATAAGTTGTGAATATAGATTGTCGTTGCACCCAGAATTTTAAAACAAAATATATTTTCTTAAAATCTATTTTATACTATCGATAACCATATTTAATTTTAATTTCTATTCATCTGTTTGCTTTGTGTTTAAATGTGCGCAACATTGTCCTTCTTCCATCACTGCAGCTCATGGAAAGTGGTCGATTCAATCAGACACTGGAATTCCCGCTGGCCGATCAATTCAGCCGTTTTGTGCTCCGTGCTAGTTTTGTTTATCTGGCCTCACGGGCCACCGAACCGGCTGTCATGATTGAGACTAAGACGGAACAGAACCTACAGCATAGTCATGTGCTATGCGTTGAATCGATCAAGTGCCCTGAGTCAACCACTACTACCACCACAACAACCACAACCACCCCAGTTCCCATTCTGATTGGTGCAACCGCAGATCCCTCTTCGAGTACCTCATTCAGTCAAACCCAGTCAGGCGAGGAAGTTTCCGGGGCGGTAAATCGTCACACAGGTGATCCCTTTTGGGATACACTTCTATCTGGAACGGAACCGAAAAGTTGGTTTCTGGCTACCGTATCATTGGGTAGTCTTTGCCTTCTCCTTCTCATCATATTGCTCATCACATGGCTGTATGTATGCCGACTGAAACGATTGCACGCCCGGCGTCGGTGTAGAGGCACTTGCCGTTTCGGATGCCGATGTCCATCGGATGTGATCCGTCAGACGGTAACTGATGCTGCAGTCTGTGGACCATTGGATTCACAGAATCAGCACTTGTTTGCTAGTCCGATGACTCCACAAGGTAATGGTTCTCTACGCAGTGGAAGCGGATTCGGTACCGCTTTGTATCCGGCCGGAACAATGACCTCCAGTCGTTGGGGTTCAAACGGAGCACACAAGGTCGGTACCCCATTGTACGTTTCCCTTGCCAATGCATCCGATAAGACCGCTTTGTTGGCTGCAAACTATCCGAATTCGGGTTGTATTATTCCGGCCGGTGGGAATCCTGGTCCGGGTTCGGCTGTCCCCGTGGCAAATAGTGTGGATAATATGAGTGGAACATGGAGTCAGTTGAATGGACAACGATCATCTTCCCACGTCCCACGTCGACGTCTATCCCAGGACGCGCTGCATCGAAGCACAAGCGATGGTTCAAGCGTATCCGGTCACGCGGTTCACGGTGCAATCACCCAAAAAGGTTCCGTCCAAGGACGAAATGGACTTTCGGTTGGGTATTTGGGCGGACCAGTTACCAGCATGCCAACAACCATGCTTATCACTAACGGCAACACAGCAGTTCCACCACAATCGCCTGACACAAATGGTTCCGTTTACTATCAGCCACAATCTACCGGAATCATTGTGGGCAGTGGCGGTGCCGGTACAACCTATAGCTATACAGACAGTGGACGAGGCAGTGGTGTCAGTCCTGGACTATCCCAGTCTCCGACCAGATTAAATGGTCGTAAAATGAATGATCGTGGTGGTGGTGGTGGTGGATACTATGTACCACACGGTTCCCTCGGAGCTGGGACGGGGACGGGAACAGTGAATGAGGAAGAAGAGGAGCCACAGGGAAATACCGATCCCAGATACTTTGCCACTGGTCCCAACGGAGAGAAACTCACATTAGTGACGCATAACGATACCCGACAGGCTACTTACAACCTTTACGGTACCGGTAAGTCTATAATTCTGGCGAGTGTGGATGTCTATCAATGTTTTTTCAGTGGCTAGATTTCTTTTATGCTTCGTTGTGAGTCTGTACCACTTGAATACACTCCTCAATTGTACCATAATCATTCTTTTTTTCCCTCATATGGCCAACGACATGAGGGATGCTCTGTGCAAGTGTGTCAGATTTGCACAGTAAGTAAGATTCGAACGTGGTAAGGAGAATCACAGTGGCACGGTTGTAGGGTTGATAGATTTAGAACGATCACCAAGATGTGCAATCGACTCTAAGCAATATCGATCAAGAAGTGGTAGAATTCGAACACGAAAAAAAGCCGGACTAACTGCAACCCGATTCTTCCCAATGATTGCTGCAAATTGGAAAATATCTATGCACCGATTTATCCCAAATAAATGAACAAAACTATGGAATAAACATAGTGACAAAATTGTTTCGCAGGCTTATGACACCCTCCTCTCCCCCCCCCGGCAAAAAAAAACATCTATCGAAAGCCTCATTATGGTCAGGATGGGTGTCTAGATTTGCGACTGGTCAACCCTCCCTTGCACCTCAAGATATGCTCCCATACAACCAATCGTCTCAAACAGCCTCTACTGCGGACCCCTACTCATTGCCTTCTTCTGGGGCGGAGCTGTTTTCCACCAAAGTGAGAAGACACAAAGCTGACATCCGGGACTAAAACCGGGTTGGTGGATCACTGGGGGAGTTGGCTAACAACCCTGATTCAAAACCAACCAAGAGGAGGTGTACGAACTACACACACACACAC